AGCAAGTACTGAATATTTTACTCTAGTGGTTTATTGCAGAATTTTAGAAAATCTCAATAAAAAATCATGTCAATCAAAAAGTAATAAAATTTCATTTTCAAATTTGAGTGGCCAACCTGTAACAGCACCACAAAAGAAAAAAAAACATAACAATATAAAAAATAGACAGAAATATATGCCAGTATAAACAATGTACAGATATACATTACAATATAAACAGTAGACAGAAATGTATGCCAGTATAAACAATGTACAGATATACATGACAATATAAACAATAAACAGAAATATATCCAATATCTATAAAATGTTTACAAACAACAATAAATTTTTTATGCATGTCTAATTTTAAGATATAGATAAAAATGATTCAACTTTTGCCTGATAAAAGACATTTTCCTTAATTCCTGACCATCTTTTCATAAATTAACAAAATAGACCTCATTCAGCTAAAGTAGTAGAAAAGAGAGTGATAGTAGAGTGAATAGATTATAATTAAAGTATTTCATGGACTATACCACGTAAAGAAAAATAAAAAAACCGAGTAAAATCAAGGATCAGAAAAAAGACACAAATCAAGGGGTAAAGTTGGGTGATTAGTCTTGAAAATGATTTACAAAGGTAGATAAGTATGTGAGAAAAATCTTTATTACATTACTTAAATGTTTATACCAGGGATCGCCAATCTTTGCCTCGCAAGCATCATGTGGTTTTTTTATTTCAAGATGCAGCTCTTTAGCTCCATGCACAAATATATATATATATATATATATATATATATATATATATATATATATATATATATATATATATATATAAATATATATATATATATATATATATATATATATATATATATATATATATATATATATATATATATATATATATATATATATATATATATATATATATATAGATATATATATATATATATATATATATATATATATATATATATATATATATATATATATATATATATATATATGGTTGTTATCAAGAATACTATTAAATAGAATTTTGACTAAATATAATTAGTACTAAATGCATTTACTATCAAATAAACTATGAATAAATAGAACTGCTACTATATATAGTTACAACTAAATATAATTACTACTAAATATAAATAATACTAATATAATTACAAATAAATATAATTAGTATTAAATATAATTACTACTAAATATAATTACTTATAAATATAATTACAGTTAAGTATAATTACGATTAAATATAATTACAACTAAATATAATGACTCCTAATTACAATGTTTTAGTAGTACTAAAGTTTAGCTGTATGTTTTAGTAGTACTAAAACGTACCAAAAAATACTATTATAAAGTCTGCTTTTTTTTTATGATTTTCATTTTTTATGTTATATTTATATACACTCTATGATTCCATTTCAATGTTTTATTTATATAAAAATGTGTTTTTGTTTTATAAATAAAACATAATTATGGTAATGGATTATATACAATATCTTATCAACTTATTAAAATTCTATTTAGCGCTCGGAAGTGTTTTGTATGCGTTATGTCAATTATAATATAAGCAACACTTTACTACAAGATAAAAAGAGAGGAGGGACTATTGAATGTTGATGTAATTTTAAAGGAGGGTCTCTGGAAGTTTGACAATTCTTTGACAAGAGGAAGGGGTAGCTGAAAACAGCCAATAAATTCTTTACAAAGTTAATGGACAGTGACTTGTATAGTTATAAACTAGTCATTAGAGTAAAAAAATAAAATAAACAAATAAAAAAGATAAAAGTAATAATAAAGGTATGATATAAAAAGTAATAAAAAAACTAAAAAGTAAAAAGTAAACCAAAAAAAGTATAAAAGTAAACCAACAAAAATAAAAGTATATGGTAAAGTAAGTGTTTCCAACAGCACTATACAATACACATAAATATATGTCAGTACAAAGCAATACACAAAAATACCCCAAAGGTTTTCAAATACTCAGATATACATGCAATATATGCAATGCACAAAAGTATAAATATTGGCAAAAATAAGTATAAGTATAATGGGCAAAAATACAATACAGTCTAAATTAAATAAAACTTTTTAAGTAATTTTATTCTAATATTAAAACTTCTAGTTCATCTATTTAGAGACTTAATTGCTTTTTGTTAACAGTGAATTTTTTAAGTTTTGGCAAAACTAAATATCTTCACTAAAAGTTTAGATTTTTGCAAATTTTAAAAAAAATTTTAACTTTCAGTGTGTAGAAAATATAAAATATAAAAAAAAATTGTTAAAATAATTGGTTTAATAAGAAATTTAAGTTCAAACAAATTATGACTCTTAAAATCAAATTAAGGCTTTTTTAAAAGTTAGGTTCTTAGCATGAAAGATCAATTTAAAGGCAATTTCGTTGGAGCTTTTCTGCTAATTCCAAAAATAGTTTTAGATTTTAAAAAAATTACTTCAAATTAAATTATTAATCCATTAAAAAGTTTTAGCAGAAAAAAAATTTTTTTTTAGTTTTTATCTTAAACAGGGCACTATACTTCCTAAAATCAATTAAAAGTTAATAGCTTAATATGTTTGTTATTTTTCTATTTTTTTAAATTTATTTAATTTATTTTATTATTTTTTCAAGCTGATTGAATTTTTTTCATTTGGATTAAATAAGTTTTCATACTTTCATGATAATTTTGTACATATACACTTACACTCTTGAAGTGCAAAAGTACAATTTTCAATTTCAATTTCAAAAATCTTTATTTTTTAAATTTCTAAATCTCTAAAAGAGAAGCCTTATACTGAGGAGACATTGAAAAAAGCATTATTATATATATATATATATATATATATATATATATATATATATATATATATATATATATATATATATATATATATATATATATATATATATATATATATATATATATATATGTATATATATATATATATATATATATATATATATATATATGTATGTATATATATATATATATATATATATATTTATATATATATATATATATATATATATATATATATATATATATATATATATATATATATATATATATATATATATATATATGTATGTATGTATATATATATATATATATATATATATATATATATATATATATATATATTTATATATATATATATACATATATATATATATATATATATATATATATATATATATATATATATATATATATATATATATATATATATATATATATGTATATATATATATATATATATATATGTATATATACAATAATTATTGAGCTTATATACATTATAATGTATATAAGCTCAATTTTACCCCATACCAAAATAAATTTTTCCAACTGAAAATAAAACAAGACTTCAGTAGTTGGTAGTCGCGTTACAACAACAAACATTTTGGTTTGGCCAAAAAAAAACATTTTGGTTTGGTAAAGCCATGAATTATTGGAATTTTGACGAAACTAGTTTCAATGGTGACAAAGTCAAAGAATCCACTCGTATTAACTGGAAATAACAAAAAAGTAAACTACACTGTTCCTAATTGTGCTGATCGATTCCTTCTATTGCCTTTTGTTGTTTACAAATCAAAGAAATTTAGTTGTTTACAAATCAACTCTATAGTGATTAGATTAAAGGAGTTTTGAAAACACTGGGCTCTTCTTAAAAATGAAAAGCTTGAGATGCAAGTTTTATAAAAATCTTGTTTAAAATCAAGTTGCAGTTTGTGGCTCTGTGAGCTCTGCTTCTGTTTGCACAAAAAGTTGCAAAGCCTAGTTTATAATTTTTTCTTTATTATTTCAAGCTTAAGCTTGCTTATGCTTATTTATTATTTTTAGTTTTTTCTGTTTGTATTGTTATCATGTGTATATTTTAACATTAAAAATAAAGATATTGAATTTATCAATTTATCTTTTTTTTTCATGTATTTTAAACTGTCCGCCTTTGGGGACAATTTTCCAATATGCTGAAATTTTTTTAAAAAATAAAATTTTATTTTAAATAGAAACTTGAAATTTTTAAATCTTTTTTTACACTGTTCAATTGCTCTAATAAACAACTTTATTTCAGAAAAAAAATCCTAAAAGTTCTCAATATTAAAAAAGTTATTTTTAGTTAATGAGAATTTTAAAGTTTTTTGTGAATAGTGTCTGCATTGCTTTTACTCTACCTACTTGTTTTTTAATAAAAATAACATTAGTTAAATTCTAGAAAAATCTTTTTGTTATAGAAAAAAAAATCAAATATGTTATATGCAATGCAAAATAAACTGAGAATTAAACTTCAATTTTAATTGTCAAAACTTGAGAAAAAAAGGAAAAGTTCATCAAGTTAAAACAACAATAACAAAACAACCTATAATTTACTTTCAGACTAAAAAAAAAAGTTTAATAAAATAAAAACTATACAACAGTATACAAACAAAGGGTTCTACGACAACATTATGTCAAAAAGATTTCAACTCTATGTACAATGTGTAGTCAATAAACAATTATTATGCACTTAGCAACCTGTAAAATGGGCATTATTGTGATACCAAGAAATATCTAACATCTTGGTAACAGGCTGGAGAGAAGGGGTTTCATTAATGAAAGCACAATTACCCCAAACTATTTTTTAAACAGTTCAAGTTTTTTTTTTCAAAATGGCATAGATGCAGTGTTATAACATTTTATTATTTGTGATTGTTACTATTCAAGACATTGTTTTTAAAATAGTTAAATATTCAATAATAAATAATAAATTTAAAATAGTTGATAGTACAAAATTCTTACAACAAAAAGCATACGATAAAGACAAACCAAAGTAAAAAAATAACCCTAACAAAAAATTTTATTGTTAACTTGATAAAAACAATATAGTAGCACAAAATGACAATAACATGAACATCCGTAAAAACTGGTTTTATAATGTGTTACTAGTAAACATTATTTTTATCTTTTTGTTGTGTTAGTTGTGTAGGATAAGCATTATAAAAAGTAAAGTTTTTGCATGACTATCATTTAGATTCTTCAAATCCACTAGATGTTGCTAGCAGAGCTAATGTCAATAAAGGTAATAAGAGTAGTTCGAACTTTAATTAATCTTAAATAAAAAGTTTTTTAGAAATTTAACTTTACACTACTTTTTAATTTTTACAGATTTAATAATATAATAATAATTATATAATAATAATAAATAAATCAAAAGTTACAAGCAGATAATGATGATGACGATGATGATGATGATGATGATGATGATGATGATGATGATGATGATGATGATGATGATGATGATGATGATGATGATGATGATGATGATGATGATGATGATGATGATGATGATGATGATGATGATGATGATGATGATGATGGTGGTGATAATGATGATGATAATTGATGTTTAGGTATATCAGAGGTATGCACAGCACTAAAAAATTATTATCTAAAATATTATGGCAAAATAAATGAACTTCGACCACTATTAAAAACACCTGCTAGTGTTGATCTAATACAAAAATTTGTTGATCTATGTATTGTTGATGCATATAATGCTCAAATTAATGTTGTTTGTAGTAATGAACGAAAGCAATTTCTTAAAAAGCAAATGAGTTATACACCAATTCATACACCAAATAATACACCAATAGTAAACTTATGCACATAATAATACAATACACTTAATAATAACGTCAGCTAAGACGCAATACCTTTAAATACCTTACAAGTCAAAATAAATTTTTGTAGTTTAACTTATGTTTGAAGTAATATGTCTAGACAATGTTTTCCATTAGTCTATAATGAAGTTTTAATGACAATTCATTTTCAAAATAATTTTTTTTGTAAACTTTGATGTATATATCTCAAAATACCTCTTTGACCTACGATAGCCATTCCAGACGATTTTTTTATAATTCAAATAGACAAATATCATTGCATAGAGTTTGGCTTAACCTAAAAAATGATGAGTCATTCGGCCTTTGAAATTAAGCGAATCAAAAGTTGTTGAACTTTTTGTAGTGGAAAAATTAATGATTTTTTGACAAAAGGTATAGGACTATAGGTATAGAAAATTTGTTGTGTTATGGCACCGAAAATAAGAGTATTATTGACTTTAAAATAACTTTTGAACCGTTAATACATTTGACTTGAAATTTTTCATAGTAACCCATCTATAATAAAAAAAGAAAATTCCAAAATTATTTTTTCTTAAAATCTGATGGGATTGATTAAAATCATTTATTTTACAGACTGAGGGCTAATATTAATTTATATAATTTTGGGGTGATACTGACTTTTAAATAACTTTTGAATTGTTATTATGTTTGGCTTGAAATTTTTTATAGTGATCCAACAACTATAAGAAAAAAAAATTCCAAAATTTTTTATTCTAATCTGTCGGGAGTGTCCAGAATTTTACAGATTGAGAGTTTTTACTAATTTATATATTTTTGGCGTCATACTGACTTTTTAATAAGTTTTGAACCGTTATTATATTTGACTTGAAAACTATTGCACAATTTACAGAATGCTCTGTGAAATAATCGCATAAATTACAGATTGGTCAGAAAATCGCTGAAAATGGTCTGTACAAACAAATGGAACATATTAACTTTAAATAGTTTAATATTTTTTTTAAATTTTTGATATTTCTGAACCCTCTGAACATTTGACTTGAAATTTTAAATAGTGATCTAGTTTTTAATAAATCTGTCGGGTTTATCCAGATTTGTTTATTATACTAAGTGAAAGGTTTCTACTAATTTAATTGTGTTATAAGGAGAAAAATTATGGTTAGACTATACAAATATGCATAAAGGAATCATGGAGTCCAAAAAATGCATCATTTGAAAACTATTGCATAATTTACAGACCTGTCAGTGAAAATATTGTATAAGTTACAGACGGGTCTGTAAATTACAGAAAAATGGATTTACAAACCAATTGGGCATATTGACTTTAAATACATTTGATATTTTTGAACCGTTACCACATTTGTTTTGAAATTTTAAATAATGATCTAGTTTTTATTAAATCTGTCAGGATCATACAGAATCGTTTATTTTACAGACTGAAGTGTTTTTACTTATTTAATTATGTAATGAAGAACAAAAATTAGGGTGACAATATGCAAATATGCATGAAGGAATCATGGAATCTGAAAAATACATCAACTTAAAATTATTGCATAGTTTACAGATTGGTTAGTAAATTACTGCAAAAGGGTTGAACAAACCAATTGGACAATTTGATTTCAAATATATTTCATATTTTCATAAATGTTATTACATTTGACTTGAAAATTTTGATAGGGATAAAAAACAATAAAACAATTAAAGCCATATTTTTTTTTATAATTGTCGGGATTATCTAGAATTGTTAATTTTACAGACTGGAGTGTTTTTATTTATTTATCTAGTTTTGCAGATTAAAATTTTAGTTTGCATTATAAAAACTCCATGCAAATATGCATAAAGTATAGTAGAATCCAATTAATTCATCTGTTTAAAACTATTGATTAATTTACAGACCGATTAGTAAATTACTATATTATAGCATATTTAAAGTAATTTGTTAAGAGTTCTGACAGATTTGGCCATGTCAAGTCACGTTTATCTTTTTCTCTGCAAGTTTGTAAAAAGTAAATATTTCTTAATACAAAATTTGGGTGTTTGAGGAAAACGAAACCATCTTCAATATTTAAAAATTCCAATATATTCTTGGCAGTATCAAATGGTTTTTTACAGCAACAATTTGGAAGCTAAAATTAAAAGTAAACCTTAACAAAAGTAAAAACAAAGAAAATAAAATGGATCAATAAAGTTTGTTTTCAATAAATAAAAGTATTAAAATACAAAATATTTATGCTTATGTTTAAAATTAAGGAAAGTAGGTCTAACTAATTCAAAATTTAAGGATGTGAATAATAAGTTTTTTTATTTTTAACAACAAACAAAAATGATGGAAAGAATAACGATTTTTATACCATTTAAAGCAGTTATATATTATTTTCATAAAATGAACCGTCCTATTTAGCTACTATTTAAATTTCTAATGAAGTGAAAGAAAAAAGAAATCAAATTTCATAAAGCAAATTCAAAAATTTATTTATAATTTAGTAAACAAACGTTAAAATCAAAACAAAAAACATCATAAAATACGCGAAAAAAACAAATATATAATGCATACATAATTTTAAAACAAAATTCCTAAGCATCAAATCTTCAAAAAAACATAAATAAACA